TTCCGAATGCACATTTTTAAAGTATTTTATATTCTTTGTCCGCTTGATCTATTATACTGGTCGCTCGTATCGAAAATGTTCTTATTTCTTTATAGTTGTAGTTATTGTAGTGTAAAATTAGATTAATTTTATTAAGTTTAATTATAATGTTTAGTGTAGAATACCAGAAATAGTTTAGTAGTGTTTTTATAGTTTATTTATTTTGTAGTTAAGTAGTAGGTGAAGGGATAATTTGGTTATTCTTTCTTTTTGTTTGATTAATTAGTAAGTTTATAATTTTTTCAGTGTAAAATACAAGAAGTAGTTGTGTAGTGTTTTTATAAGAGATTATATTCGTTTATTTTGTAGATATGTAGTAGGTGAAGGTATTTGGCTATTTTTTCTTTTTGTTTTTCTTCTAATTGTAGTAATTCTATTAAGTATTGTGATAGATACGCTATATATTCCTTCAACTTCGTTGAAAGGTGCGTTATCATATAAGTTTGGTTTTCTGGTAGTAGAATATACGAAAAAAAAAATCTGATCAAATTTATTTTAAATTAAATTAATCGAGTCTTATTAATCAAATTAATCTAGTCAAATAAAAATAATAGTTAGTTTCTAAATACTATACAGGATGAGTTTCCTACGATGTTCTCTATGGGTATCTAGGAAACTACTGGAGATAGAGAGTCGGTTAAATGGGGAAAGAATTGCAGTTTTGTGGGGTCATAAATATGCGCCTTTCGGATTTTTCGGAGAAGTTCAAGGCTTACTAGATATTTCAAAAACACAAATTTTGGCTATTTTAAAACTTGTCTTTAATTCCATTACAATCTACCGTATGATCGAATAAAAAAAGGCCTCAACGATGGCTATGAAATGAAGATCGTTGTCATTTTATATGTAAAATTATATGGGAAATATCATCGATCGTCATTTCATAGCCATCGCTGACGCCGTTTTTATTCGATCATATAGTATTTTAGACAAAAAGTTTTCAGATAAAAGTTGTAGATAATCACATACCTAATGAGTTTGTGTTTTCTGTTTTTTTTCTAAAGCCTGTCATTTTTGACATATGACATAAACATTATGTTTTTTTTAAATGGAAATCCTAGTTGGCCATGACTTAATAAAAAGCGCCATTCTTTAAGCTTTTCAGCGATATAAGTCTAATATTTGTTTTTTCGAAAAATTACAAGTTATAATCAATTCTTTTCTTTCTTGGCTAATTCCCATACCAATAATACCATGCCAATTAGTTGGCATCAAAAATGTAGAAAGTTTTATGTTTTCAAAAAAAAATATCGTAAAATTCCTAAAGCACTCAATTTAGAATAAAATGATTCTTTTATAAACCTGCATTAAATCCAATTAAAATAGGTATGTAACTTTTTTTTAAATATTAATTAACAGCAATTAGCATTATCATAAATTATAAATAATGTACCAATATATCGAAATAATAATTTCTTTGTTAATACGGTTTAGAATTCTTAAAATAACAGGTAAAAATAATCCACAATTTACAATAAAATAAAAGTTTCGTTTAAATTTCTTAATCAGCTGATCATTATTAAAGTTCGCAGAAACCCGGGCTATATTATTACATTACTCTGAGGAAAATAACGAAAATAATCGATATTTTTGACTCCGCCCCGAAAGGTTCCCGATTTGTCCTCCAGTTGGCAGCACATTTTGTCTAGTCGGTTGAACAACTTTAAGAATATATAAACAAGGATAACAGTTAAAAATATGTAGGTGGCGCCCTCTACAAGTAGGAGTCATATTGACATCAAAGTCAAATTTCTAATGTCAAAAAACTTCTAGACACCAATTTTCATCCAAATAGTGATACTTCAGAAATTATTTGGAAAAAATCAAAATAAAAATGAAACTTCTACTCCTGTATCTCCGAAACTAAGCATTTTAGGATATACATGTATACAAACTTTTTTACTTTTTACTTATTATTATCTGCAAAATATGCAAACGAAGTTTCCGGAATACAGTTCGGACCACCCTGTATATAGTATACCGGGTGTGTCTCAAAAAGTGGCTCACCCCTATAACTTTTTTAATTTTTCAAATAAAAAAAACGAAATTTGGTATGTTAGTATATGACATAAATTAGGACTGATTGACGTATTCAATTGTTTTTGGTTTGGTTTGGTTTGGTGACTTCCTGTTTCACCAACAATGACTACAACTCTTGATTTTTAAATAGCACCCTCGGTATATTTTTACTTTATTCGATTGAAAATGACACTCCCAATACAATGATATATCATATGTCAACTTTTGACATTTTCGCTGAAAACAAAATCGTATTTTAAGTTTAAATCTAGAGTTCCATGGCTGTGTTAAAAACACTATTTTTATCAAGGAGCCTTGGAAAAATAGATTTGATCGACTAATGTTTTTCGTGTCTTGCCCTGTCACGTTAGAAGATGCCCAAATCGTATTTTTAATTATAACTCCTTTTTATCAAATGGAACAAGGGTGGCTTATTGGCATATTTGAAAAAAAGCATTTTTTTGCGAATAATTTGGTACGTACCACACCTTGGTATTTCGAGTCAAATTGTCGTTATGAACCGCATGTTACAATTTCAAATAAACCATATGCCAAAATGTGAAAAGTTGACATATGATATGGCATTCTATTCAGAGCGTCATTGTCTATTGAATAAAGTAAAAAAATACCGAGAGTGTCTTTTAAAAATCAAAAGTTGTAGTCATTTCCGGTGAAACAGGAAGTGACTAAAAACAATTATTGAATATGTCAATCAATCCTAATTTATGTCATATACTAACATATCAAATTAACTTTTTTTTAATCTGAAAAAAATAAAAAAGTTATAGGGGTGAGCCACTTTTGAGACGCACCCGGTTATATATCAGTATAGTAGAAGAATTATGAGATATATAGTTTCAAAAAACGTAATAATATACCAGGTTTTCCATTTAAAATAGAAAATATGTTATACCACTTTTAGTATGAAGCTACAACACTGTAACGCTGAAAATAATTTAGACAGATAGAGCAGGTGCCTTTATGGAAAAACAAAATTTTTATAAAAATCACAAGTTCTCCATAAACGTCCAACATACCGCGGTCGTGAATCACTCTGTATTTTTAGAGTTTATTGGACCAGTTTGGGATTCCCAATTTCTTTGTCCAGACTTTTGCATAAAAAATTAAGGAAGGACCATATGAAAAAACTTATATTGAGCGTGAGAGGAGGATCGTCAAAAGGAAGATTTTTTGGGCGCCGAAAAAATAAATTAACGACCACCCTACTACACATACGAGCCCTAACAACTAAATGTTCGGACAAACAAAAATTTATTAAAAACCTTTATTTTCATTAACTGAATTATTTACATTTAAGAAATACATTAAAAATATATTAAAATCTAACATTTCTAATGAGTATTTAAATAGTTTAGTTTCTATAAACATTAAAATAAACTGAAGGCCAATAAATAAACAAAAATATTGCACAATATCGTGACAACTAAATGTTCGGACACTTTAAAAAGAACTGTTATATGGCGTTACATCGGCATGAACTTTTGCAACCACTGCATGTCTGTTTGGCATTGTTTTTACTAATGATTGACATACGCCAGAGTAAAAAATTTGCCATAATTCACTTAATATCATCGTCAAGTGGGCAACGGTTTCTTGGGGATTGTGGCACAATTTTTGTTTTGTTATATGCCACATGTCTCGATAACATTAAGGTCCGGACTGTGCGAAGGCCATGAGGGGACCTTGATGTTCATGTCCCTAAACCATTTTTAGTAATTTTAGCCATATCGCATGCCCCGCCTTCCTGTTGAAATATAAAATTCATATCCTGGTAAAGGTCTCTCGCACTTGGCACAAAACTGTTTTTCAAAATTTCTTGATATTTTGACACATTAGTTGTGCCTTTCTACCACCTCATACCTTCCTAGACCCATTGCGGACATAAACTCTAAAAACATAATGTCTTTAGGAAATTCCACTGTCCATCTTTCATAAAGATCATGCATGCGTGCAGTTGTAATCCTTGAACTTGCAATTTGCGATTAGAATTATCAGCGTCGGATTGGAACTTCTGATGTCACAAAACACATTAAGTAACTACAAAAATGACATTAAGGTAAAATATTTAATTATTTCCCAATCCGGCGCTAATAATTCCAATCGCAAATGGCAAGTGCACAAATTACATGTGCACATGAACCACCTTAATATCGATATAATAACACCGCTAGAGTATCTGTTTGATAAAGATTGCCTCCAAAGGACAGTGAAATTTCCTAAAGGCATTATGATTTGAAGGAGTATGTCCAAAATAGGCTCAGAAAAGTATGAGGTGGTAGAAGTCATAATTGATGCGTCAAAAAATCAAAAAAATTTGAAAAATATTCTTGTGTCAAGTGGGAAGGACAAAGGTCCTTGTAACCAATTGTTCTGGTAAAGACCAGGACAATAATTTTATATTTCAACAGGATGGCGGGGCATACCATACAGCTGAAACTACTAAAAAATGGTTTAGGGACATGAACATCAAGGTCCCCTCATGGCCTTCGCATAGTCCAGACCTTAATGTTATCGAGACATGTGGCATAAAACAAAACAAAAATTGTGCCACGATCCCCAAAAAATCGTTGCCCATTTGACGATGATATTAAGTGAATTATGGCAAAATTTTTACTCTGGCGTATGTCAATCATTAATAAAAACAATGCCAAACAGGCTTGCAGTGGTTGCAAAAGTTCATTCCGATGTAACGCCATATAACAGTTCTTTTTAAAGTGTCCGAACATTTAGTTGTCACGATATTGTGCAATCTTTTTGTTTATTTATTGGCCTACAGTTTATTTTAATGTTTATAGAAACTAAACTATTTAAATACTCATTAGAAATGTTAGATTTTAATATATTTTTAATGTACTTCTTAAATGTAAATAATTCAGTTAATGAAAATAAAAATTTTTAATAAATTTTTGTTTGTCCGAACATTTAATTGTTAGGGCTCGTATATATATACAACATGATCGAAAAACAAACGGCGGCAGCGATGGCTATAAAATGAAGATCGCTGTCATTTAATATGTAAAATTATATAGAAAATGTCATTAATTGTCATGTCAATATGAAAAGTCATCGCTGACACTTTTTTTGATCATATGGTACGTATATTATATAGTCATTTCCAAGTGAAAAGTTACTCCATTATTTATCTTGACATTTGATCGAGATATACCGTACGCTATGCAACTACTTTAGTCTTTTCGGCAAATTATATTACATATTGTCACTGCGAGTTCTGATACAATTTCCTTTTAAATTTACTACCTCTAATCAAAATCCATTGCAGAATAAATAATAAATAACATAAAATAAGCTCAGTAAAGACAAATACACGAAATTTCAAATCAAATTCAAATGTTTCAATTGAAACCTCAAAAAGAATAAGTCGAGGATGGGGACCTATGATGTTGATTCCATCTACCATGCATCTTTAGACCATGCATGAATACATGAATAGCATTATACTCCTTCCTTAATATTTTTATTCAAAGGTCCAGATAATGCTGACAATGGCAGTACCGAAATTAAAAACCCTAAAAAAGACCAATTAACTTTAAAAATACTATATCTAAAATCTTAGCTAGTTTCTACTTACTTTTATAAAACTACAAACATGGCAAGAAAAAATATAAACTTTTATATCAATTAAATATAGACTAAACTCTAAAAGGTAATCTAAATAATAAGATCAATTATTCATTAGTTGAGTTAGGAAATAAACTATCATATGATGGAGGTAAATCTTTTCCTTGGTCAACAGGTGCAGAAGGTTGTGTAGGTGGAAGTGCTGGTTCTGCCAGCCTTATCCCAGTAGGTTCATGCATTTCCATTACACATGACTATAACATAATAAAATAAGAAGTAATATTTACTAAAATATACACATACTCACACTACGATTATTATCAGATATGGGAGTTGGATGAGCAAAATCCTCTCTCCAACAGAATAATTTATGTTTTTTAAAGGCCCATATAAGTAAACAGAAAAGAGCAAATAAGAGTGCTAATGTAGAAAGGGAACCTATAAGTACTCTATCTCCCACTGACCCTTTGGACTCAATATTGGACTAGAAAAAGCAGTAGAAAAGTGAAGAACTTCAGCAGCATTTACCTACTTACAGACAGCAAGCATTTTCCTTCATCGGTGCATCCATAATAAGGGCAATTAATTAATCCATCCATGAAAAAATGAGTTTTAATACATACTTCTTCTCGTTCATTACACTGTTCCAATTTGTAATGTTTATAATTCAAATATGAACATTCTAAAAGCAGAAACAATATTTTCTTAAGGAGCTTGACACTACTTCCGCAATAAATTATCCATTTACCTTTAAAAGATGTAAATACCACACTAAATTCAGTTCTAGTATTATAAGCCAGTGGTTCTTTATCAATAAATATAGTAACATCTAATTCACCATTTTTATTCATTGCAGAATTGATACTACTAATTTCACCATTTTCATTTTGGTTCATCACAGAAGTTGCATTAAAGTTTCCACAAAATCGTCGAGTAAATTTATTTTGAACGCGAATCTGAATGTAATCAATACATTCTCCATTACTTTCATTTTTTCGTAAGTTTATGTTCTGTATTACTGCGATAACACCACCATTAGAATAAATGGACTCAACTTCAAAACTACAACTATTATCTACGTTCCATAAAAGCCTATGCTGATTAATGAACTGTCCTTCATCAACTATAACTGCTTCGTATTTAACTTTCTTTTGACTCAATGGCGAACACAGCTTTGGGTTTCCTAATGAATCTAAAAGAATAAATAATTTATCAAGTTAAGCAAATATTTGATTTGAAATGTTTACAGTGTTTATATTCCTGAATTGACCCATCAATAAATCCAATTATGAAAACACCTAGGTGTAAAATGATATTGTTTAGCTGTTGTTTTCGATACATCATTTTACCTGACAAGTTTAACAATAAACTTGTAACATATCATTTTTATATCATAAAAAATGCAAAATTATGCGGTATTTAAAACAAATTTATTTTGATAGTTTAATTAGGGATTTCAAATGAAGAAAATTAATTTTATTTTCTGAACTCTCAAGTTGATAATCAAAGCATATCTGAGTATCTGAGGTTAGGTCAGTCAAACGTCAAACCAGTGTTTAGTGTTGTCAGATGTCAGCAGAATGTCAGAGAGAGAATTATCGTTTCAACCTTTAAATATATCGTACCGTAAATCATCGTAAAATCGACCTCCAAACAAAAATAAATATTTTAAAACAATCCAAAAGCTGTTATGAGACGGCATTGTTATTATGAATTCGGTATTACTTTCTTTATTAGGTATCTAGCACAAAAAAAGAATAGTTTTCTGGTATACCAGTTTTCTTAATAAGTGCAAATAAAACAAATTTAAAGATTTCAACAACTAAATCTATAAAATATTTCATTCAGGTCAACCTCATGCATCTCTGGATAAAGCCCCGTTCTCAGAACTGCGTCGTGTCGACAGCGACACTGATTGACACTTCAAACGACCAATGGGAGCTGTACTAAATTTAAAATTGACAACTGTCTGAATTTTGTACAAATCTCATTGGTCCTCTTGACGTGTCGCTGGCGACAGTCGCTGTTCTGAGAACGGGGCTTAATTAGGCATTCCAACGACCTGTCAAAATCGATCCAATATGGCCGCTGGGGGCACACATGGCTGTATTTACATTAGTCCTTGTGGTAGTCAAACCAGAGCTAAGTTATATTTAATACATTTTATAGTGTTTTTCAGTTCATATTGTGGCTCAGTAGTTAGTTGTTAACACATTTATAGTAAATTTTGATAGCCAGGATATAAATTCTGCGAGAAACATAATATTTGAAGACGTTTTGTTACATGCCGATTACGTGTCGGAAGTCGAGCAAATAAAGACAATTTATATTTTATTGTGTCCCTACGACCACAAATCACCGCTTCTAACAGAACAAAATTAATTGTCCAAGAAACGTCGTTCTCTTTGGATGGCAGCTATAAAAGGGATGATTTAATGTGGTCTATAATAAAAAATCAGAGGGTGTGTAGCAAACACTTTCTAACAGGTCTGTAATCAAAATTCTTTATTGATATTTCTGTTTTAATAATGGTGGAATATTACAAGTTTATAATTGTTATTTCTAGGAAAACTTGTTAGTTTAGAAGATGAAAATCATCCAGATTGAGTTGGTTCCGTGACAAGACATGGGTCATAATTGTACAAATCTGAAAAAAAGGATGATATTGAGAGAAAACTAAGGGCTGACTAAAGAAGAAAAGTACAATATGAAGTGAGATTACTGACAACTGTTCAGATTTTAAAATATACTAATTTTGATATTTATTATAGGCCATTCTTAACACGTCTGAAGCAGAACCTCATCGGGTGATTGAAACAGATGTTTGAATCAACAGTTTTAGTGTACAAACATACATCACGATGGATGACTTATGCAACAAATTTGAGTAGCTTAGTTTTGCAACATCTAAAATTAGTAATTTCGCCTTATTGCAGATTACATACCGTTTACACAAATGACAGCTCTAGGCAAGTTTAAAAGATTTGGCTTATCGTTTTAAAGTGTCTTTTGCTACAGCCTTAACAACATTTGAAGTAATCAATAATGATTTATACAAAAGGTATAAAACCTATAAATAGAATGGTCCAATCCATCTACGATGCTCTAAAAAATATGACATATTGTTTTAAAATGGCATTTAGGAATCGCATTGTATTATTGATTGTTACTCAAATATTTATTTATTTATAACATTATATTGTAATTCTTATTTTCACGAGTGTAAATTACAAAATTAGCTTATTGTTTCTATATCGTAATAAACGAATATGTACTATATACTGTTATACTCCTTAACAAAAATATACAATTGTCGAATAAACAATAAGAAAGATATTTTTTATTTATTTCTATCATTTTTTACACATACTGATGGCCCAATAGGTATGTATTATTAAAAAAATATAAACTGAATACAAAACTAAAACCTCAATGGATAGAATTATGACAGAACAGCTGATCGGCTTCATTGACCTTGCCCCCAGCCGCCATTTTAAAATCACGTGGTTTGGAATGCCTAAAGCCCCGTTCTCAGAACTGCGACTGTCGCCAGCGACACGACAAAAGAACCAATCAGATTTGTACTAAATTCAAACAGCTGTCAATTTTAAATTTAGTACAGCTCCCATTGGTCGTTTGAAGTGTCAATCTGTGTCGCTGTCGACACGACGCAGTTCTGAGAACGGGGCTTAATGGTGTGGATCCGGTGGCTGACCTTGAAACGAGTTTTTGCTGCATATAGTCTTAGACACTACGCATGCGCACATCTTTGATGTTGCCAGATTGTGAGTAATTTTGGAATTATTTTCAGTAGAAAACAAATATGTGCTTTTCAGCGTTTTTTGTCAATATATACCATAAGATTGAAAAAACGGCGTTCAGTTGGCTGGGAAATGACGATTAAGGACATTTCCCATATAAAATGACAGCGATTTTCATTTCATAGTCATCGCTGACGCAATTTTTTTTTTCAATCATAGTACGCGGTATATTATTTATATTATTATTTTAATATTTCGTACAACACGTGAACGCTTATTATGTAGTCTATAAAATATTTATATAGAAATTATACTATAAAATAAATAAAATTATATAGAAATAAAACTATAGATTCCTATCTAGATTATTATGCTACGTTTAAAAAGTGCTTTATTAAAAATTCGGGAAATTAAAAATGATGTGTCCAAGTTTTTTCTTTTAATTTTTAAATGCTGTAGCTCCATGTCATGTTCATAATAGGTTTTTTTTAACATTCCATCAAAACTACGGAGGCCTTAAAAGGCCTTTTAGCCTCCGTAATTAAAATTGTAGAATCAGCCTTCAGCAACATTAACATCAGTGACCTTGTTTAATTCTGCTTATACATATATTGCATTAATTTTTCTGCTACATTAAGATTTCTCTATTCTTACACCTAATTTATGTGATTTTCTTAGCATATATGATTTATAAACCATATTTTTCCTAGTGGAAGGATGGAATAGGATATGCAAAATTAAAATATTTTAACTTTTATTTTCCAGACCAAGCATAATATATAGTATTAAGATTAAGACATAACAAATATTATAAGAAAGATTTTAATATAAATCACAAACTAAGTCTTAATTTAGTCTTGTATTTCTATTATTATTATTATTCTTATAAAACTAATAAGATCAAAACTCAACCTTCACCATATTGTCAAGATTTAGCATTATAGGAAACAAGAAATTAAGTAAATTAAGAAAAGAATATCAAAGTACACGATATTAAATACTGTAATGTATTCTACGATACAAACCATCTCCCTTCTAAAGAGAAAAAGATAAAACATAAAGCTTATTTCAGTCTTATCAACACACACTCTTCGATTTATCGAAGATATATTTTAATATATGTCTAAAATTGCTATTAATCCACTAACTTGATATTTTTAAGAAATTATGATACAAACATTAATTATAATCAAAGTATATTATATTAGTAACATTATAGGTAAAATGTTACCTCTATCTCCGATTGACGTGTATTGTTCTATAATAAGACAATAAGACCCGTCATGGTAGTACCTCAAAACATCAATACATATAATCAAAACTATTGTTGCTTGTAAATAACTAGAAATTAAATAACTTGAAAGAAATAAAATAATTCTAATAAGTTTAAAACCATTAAGAAAAAATCCGTAAATGATAAATTTTAATTCTAATGTAAATATATAAATAAATGTTATTATTATTACAATTTTATATATTCATAATACTTTCATTTCACAATCTTCATTATCCTTCTTACCTTAATTTTGGATATCAAGATAAATCTGAAATTATAAAATTAATTATAGAATTCATATTATTATTGATTAACATGCAAAAAAAAATTTCAACTGCAAATAATTCGAAAATAAACTGCAATTTGGCAACATCGATGATGTGCGCTTGCGTAGTATCGATGATCAAATGCAGCAAATATAGGCTTCAAGGTCAGCCACCGGATCCACACCTTTACCCATCTCTGTTTTGTTCTATATTCCAATTTTTGAAAAGTAAGCTACCGTTTAACGGCAGTTTAAGTACAGCCTAATTTTTAACGGTTGTGACGATAATTCTCTATATGATTAACAAGATAACAAGACAGTGCTTTCTATTAAAAGATCAGCCTCGGGCGAGATTTATGACGTCACGCTAGTTAGATATAACGCATTAATAATAAATATGTTGTAGAATACATGGAAAACATAATTATTCCTCAGATTTTTGGTTTGTATTTTAAAAATGATATAGTTTACATTAAATATACATAATATACAGTTAATAATTACAACATATATACCTATTTGTAGTAATAAATACTTTGGCAAATAAACTATGAACCATACAAATGCAGCAAATGTTTTACAATATACAAATAATGTATAGGTGCATAAGATAATGGGTAAAATGTAAATATATTTTAAATTTTGGGGTTTGAAAATCGATCTAATTTAACAAAAAACATTCAATATCTACTAATAGTGATGCGAAAAAAAGGCGTCAGCGATGGCTATGAAATGAAGATCGCTGGCATTTTATATGTAAAATTATTCTAAAATTTTTGATTTTCTTGGGATTTTTAGGTTCGGGAAAAACGCTGATTTAAGTTTTCATTTGGGTTTTCATTATTTTTATTTGGTTTAAAAAAACGTTTCGGCTAACTATAGCCTTCATCAGTGTTGTGTCATATGAGAAAAATAGTGTCGAATATAATCCAAAAAATTACATGTACAATATAATTCACACCTCATAATGTTTACTGCAATTAATAAACTAATATAAACTTATCAAAAGATGACCACATATTTTTAAAATTATTATTCTTAACGCTAAAATTATCTACATTGACTATGGAGTACCCAGTAAACATTATGTGCGTGGTGTGAATATTTTTATATGTAATTTTTGGATTATATTCGACACTATTTTTTCATATGACACAACACTGATGAAGGCTATACTGTTAGCCGAAACGTTTTTTTTTTAAACCAAATAAAAAATGTTGAAAACCCAAATGAAAAAACTTAATCAGCGTTTTTCCTGAACCTAAATCCCAAGAATATCAAAAAAATTTAGAATATTTAGAAACAAGGTTCAAGAATATCAAATTTTCCAAGATTGTAAAATTCTAGTTAATTATTTTATGTGTACAGTTATTTAGGGAATGTCATCAATGTTCATTTCCAAGCCAACTAGACGCCGATTTTTTTCGATGATACGGTATAATTCTTACGTAAAATGTAAATAACATTAGACCAATTAAAACAAAGAAATATGAATTTCTTAGTATTTTTAGTAACACCTTTATACTTAAAACTTAATTTTGTATTATGCAAATATACCAATTTTATTGTTATTTTATTCACATTGTATTCAGCCATCACTTAAAATATTTGATATTTATTTGGTATTATAAATAATCAACACTATTCATTAAAAATTACTGAACAAATATATGTTATGCTTGACATACATTATATATTATCAAACAAAAACACATTCTTCTTTTAAACTGTATCAGTCTTGTCTTTACAAAAATCTTTTTTAAAATTTGAACTCAAAATAATAATCTTTTTCATGATCTTTAATACACATATTCTTTATTTTTCCCTAGATCATAATACCTACTGACATGTTTATCTTACGTGTTTGAATCTATCAAAGCTGAACCAACAACACTTGGAGTGGAGATTCCACAATATGAATAAAATAAACATAATTGTCCAGTTTTCATTAATACTATCATGGGAGAATATTATTTTTAAATTTATTAAAGATATTTTCAATAGAATTCTCTTGATTTATAACTCCCCACTTTTCTTGCTCTTCCGGACACCTTAGGTTGCCTAGTATAACTATCCTTTACACCAGGAATACAACAAAGATGAGGCATAGCACCAAAAACGCACTCCACTTAGGGTGCAGCCACACTATCCTAAAAACGGCGTATCGGCGTAACGGCGTAACGACCTTGAATCGATTTCCAGTAATTCTATTGGCTGAAATTTTTGACAGATGAATTTGACAGATAAAATTTCTGACAGATGAATGTTTCACAGGGTGCAGCCACACTATCCTAAAAACGGCGTATCGGCGTAACGGCGTAATGACCTTGAATCGATTTCCAGTAATTCTATTGGCTGAAATTTTTGACAGATGAATTTGACAGATAAAATTTCTGACAGATGAATGTTTCAGCCAATAGAATTACTGGAAATCTATTCAAGGTCATTACGCCGTTACGCCGATACGCCGTTTTTAGGATAGTGTGACTGCACCCTCAGCCAATAGAATTACTGGAAATCTATTCAAGGTCATTACGCCGTTACGCCGATACGCCGTTTTTAGGATAGTGTGGCTGTACCCTTAAGCTTTATTGATGAATTGTTAGAGTCTTAAAAAACACACACAAAAACCACGATAAGTAAAAAATATGTGGGCACTTTTAGGTTAAATCACTTACACAACGTGTAATTTTTCAATTTTTCTATTTTTTATGCGAAACCGAGAGTGACCATATATCTGGTAGTAGTTTATGTCACTTAAACACCAAAATAATTAGTTTTTTGCACTACAATAATAAATAATACCAAAAATCAAAGAGTTAAAACCAAAAATCAACCGACAAAATATAAAACGGGGTAATGGTGTGGATCCGGTGGCTGACCTTGAAACGAGTTTTTGCTGCATATAGTCACAGACACTAGGCATGCGCACATCTTCGATGTTGCCAGATTGCAAGTTATTTTGGAATTATTTTCAGTAGAAAACAAATATGTGCTTTTCAGTGTTCTTTTGTCAATATATACCGTATGATCGAAAAAACGGCGTCCAGTTGGCTGGGAAATGACGATTGAGGACATTTCCCATATAAAATGACAGCGATCTTCATTTCATAGTCATCACTGACACTATTTTTTTTTTCAATCATAGTACGCGGTATATTATTTATATTATTATTTTAATATTTCGCACAACACGTGAACGCTTATTATGTATTTTTATAGTCAATAAAATTAAATAGAAATAAAACTCTAGATTCCTATAATTAATCTAATTGCTCTAGAATATTATGCTACGTTTAAAAAGGGCTTTATTAAAAATTCGGGAAATTAAAAGGGATGTGTCTAAGTTTTTTTTTTAATTTTTAAATGCAATAGCTCCATGTCATGTTCATAATAGTTTTTTAACATTCCATCAACGCTACGGAGACCTTAAAAGGCCTTTTAGCCTCCGTAATTAAAATTGTAGAATCAGCTTCAGCAACATGAACAGTTACCTTGTTTAATTCTGCTTATACATATATTGCATTATTTTTTCTGCTACCTTAAGATTTCTCTATTCTTACACCTACAGGGTCCGGCAATAGTGTGTCGGGCATCTGTAGCTCCTAGAATAAGAAACTTGAGAATTCTGTTTAAGTGCAAACCTAAAGTATGTATAAGGATGTATTTCCGGAAAATATTTTAACTTCTATTGGGTGGCTCAAAAAAATGTGAGTGGATTTGGATGATTTTTTTGAAATGGAACACCCTGTATATTATTGCATTTTTGGCTTCCTTTCAGATCACTTTACATAATCCTAAGATATGAGTAAATCTATTTCGATAGTTTCAGAGATATTAAAAAATAAATCAAAAATATATATTTTTTAACCCTTCTTAAAAAAAATATTAAAAATACAAGAACTGTTCTGAAATCAAAACTATATTAGATATTTACTTTAGATGGTCCGTTCTTACTTTGCTATAAATATGGTAATCGTAAATCATACAGGATGTTCAATATTTTACGCCAAACTTTCAAAAATATAAAATAAATTTTCTTCGTTTTTTTAAATGGAACACCCTGTATATTATTTTTTTATTTAATGGAGAATTATAGAATGAACATTTTTTGTATTTAAAGTATATCAAAATTTTTAATAGTTTTCCGGATACAGGCAGTATTATTTCATATGGCGCTTTCAATGGTAAAATACGAGAGAACAATCATTAGGTGGCTTTGATAAAAATTTACTGTGGAAAATGCCATATGAAATACAAAACCGGGAATATCTGCGAAACCGTTGAAAATTTTGAAATACTCTAAATGCAAAAAGTGTTCATTTTTTAATTCTCCATCTATTGAAAAAATAATATACAGGGTGTTCCGTTTAAAAAAACAAAGAAAAATTATTTTATATTTTAGAAAGTTTGGCGTAGAATTTTGAACATCCTGTAAGATTTACGATTTCCATATTTATAGCAAAGCAAGTACAGACCCTCTAAAGTAAATATCTAATATAGTTTTGATTTTAGGACAGTTCTTGTATTATTAATATTTTTTTAAGAAAGGCTGAAAAATATATAATTTTTATTTACTTATTAATATCTCTGAAATTATTGAAATATATTGACTCATGTCTTAGGATTATACAAAGTGATCTGAAAGGAAGCCAAAAATGCAATAATATACAGGATGTTCCATTTAAAAAAATCATCCCGATCCACTCACACTTTTTTGAGCCACCCTATAGAAATTAAAATATTTTCCTAAAATACATCCTAGTACATACGTTAGGTTTGCACTTAAACAAAATTCTCAAGTTTTTTATTTTAGGAGCTACAGATGCCCGACGCACTATTGCCGGACCCTGTATATGTGATTTATAAACCATATTTTTCCTAATGGAAGGATGGAATAGGATATGCAAAATTAAGATATTTTAACATTTATTTTCCAGACAAAGCATAATATAGTATTAAGATTAAGACATAACAAATATTATAAGAAAGATCTTAATATAAATCACAAACTAACTAAGTCTTAATTTGGTCTTGTATAAACACAGGTATAAAACCAATAAGATCAAAACTCAACCTTCACCATATTGTCAAGATTTGGCATTATAGGAAACAAGAAATTACAGTAAATTAAGAAAAGAATATCAAAGTACACGATATTAAATACTGTAATGTATTCTACGACACAAACCATCTCTCTTCTAAAGAGAAAAAGATAAAACATAAAGCTTATTTTTGTCTTATCACCACACTCTTCGATAAAATATATGTCTAAAATTGCTATTAATCCACTAACTTGATATTTTTAAGAGATTATGATACAAACATTATAATCAAAGTATATTATATTAGTAACATTATAGGTAAAATGTTACCTCTATCTCCCATTCGCCTGTATTTTTCTATAAGACTCGTCATGGTAGTACTTCAATACATCAATACATATAATCAAAACTATTGTTGCCTGTAAATAACTAGAAATTAAATGACTTGAAAGAAATAAAATAATTCTAATAAGTTTAAAACCATTAAGAAAAAATCCGTAAATGATATAATTTTTAATTCTAATGTAAATATATAAATAAATGTTATTATTATTACAATTTTATATATTCAATTTTATATATCATTCCTTAATTTTGGATATCAAGATAAATCTGAAATTATAAAATTAATTATAGAATTTGTATTATTATTGATTAACACTCAAAAAAAAATTTCAACTACAAATAATTCGAAAATAAACTGCAATTTGGCAACATCGACGATGTGCGCTTGCGTAGTATCGATGATCAAATGCAGCAAATATGGGCTTCAAGGTCAGCCACCGGATCCACACCTTTACCTAAAACGGAATCTAACCCAATATCTAAGTATGTACAGCTGATGAAGTAAACAAAAGTCCGCCCCTAGGCTGATCTTTTAAAGAACGGCAGTGAACAAGAACACAACAGCAGACATTGGCAGTTGGCAGACATGCAGACAACAGCAAACATTTTAAATTATAAACAGCAGATAAACAACTGTAAACAGTAAACAGTTTCATTCTATGGTACAGAGGTTTCATTCAGCAGTTTCACTGGTTTCAGATTCTATGAGCTGCTATATGAGTTATGAGTTTGAGTTATTTCAGTTTCAGAGCACTATATTTTTTGATTTGAGTTATAAAAATTGTTTTCATATTTTCTGTTTGGCTTATGAAAGCAGATGAAAGATAGTTTGTATGCTATATTCTCAATGAGTAGTCTTCCAGTATGGCTTCAAGATAAATGGAACAAAGTATATAGGCCTCGTCAGATCAGATCAGCTCTACAGCAAAAAGGAGACAAAAAGTTATTCTAGAGACAAAATAAAAAAACTCTGACGTTAATTAAAAATTCCGTATGATCGAAAAAAAAAAACGGCGTTGAGGAGACAAGACAAAGTTTAAAAAGGCAGCGATTTTTATTTCCAACCAAGTTTCACAGTTTTTTTTTTCGATGATATGGTGTTTTAGTTAATAAATTTGGTAAAATTTAATTCCAGTTAAAAAGTAGTGATTGCCCTATAAATTGTATATGTACATCCTTACAAGAAAATGGCGAAAAATGATCAAATTAATAAGTCTAAGACATCAGCAATAGATATGTTGGTATATGTTTGAATCAATGACGTCTAAATGTTTGACTACTATATATATATATATATTTTTTTTTTGTTTAGGGAAGGATTTATCCTTACACCGCTAAACAAAAAGAGTTTAAGGAACCGGTTGAAGCCTGATATAGAAGATATCTCCGAAAGCGATGAAGAAGAGTCAAATGATATAACAGGTAGTCAACTATCTCTCAAGAATCCTTCAAACATGACTGCACATGAATCATGTGTTTCAATGAGATCTTTGGAGTAGGCCTATTTTTTATTTTATACTTTTGGATAAAATTATTCAGTTTGTGTAATACTTTTAGCATTGCAAACAATGGTTTTAAGTTAAAAGAAGGTGAACCAGAAAACAGTCTTGATGTGTCTATATTATATGACAACAAAGGAACTATCTGCGATTCTATTGAATCGTTGAATGTTTCAACATCTAAATTGAAGAATGATAGTTTTGATTTGGATTTTTCTGCTTTATCACTACATACACCACTTAAAAGAAAAGAGATTAATTTTAACTTTGTTACACCACAAATTAATATTATACCAGCTACTGAAACCAAATATATCAATAAATCCAGTCAATGTACAATAACTCCTAAAGTTAATGTATGCAAGAATTCAAGAAATAAGACATTATTTAAAACACCCATTGGCAAGTCTTTAAATGTTCAGCATTCCACAAGAAAATTTCCTGGAACTCCACTTCAAATAGTTAAATGTTCAAGTAGTAAGAAATCAATGTTAGCAGGCATATATGAAAATCAAAATGTATAAAAATGTACAAGTAAAATAGCTATAATTATTTTCTTAATATTTATCTTCTATTGTAGAAGTTTATTCCAGCACATATTTATGGGAATGAAAACTATAATAAAATTATAGTAAATAATACAGAGTACCTTATTATGAGCTTATTAGGAAAAGGTGGAAGTTCAGAAGTATATTATGGTTTTGAACCATGTGAAAAACTTCATGTAGCCATTAAGGTTGTAAATTTATCAAATCCAACAACCGCCAGTGGATATATAAATGAAGTTAAAGTGTTAAGTGATCTACAAATTTGTGATAGAATTATTAAAATGCATGATTAGTATGTCAAATACCATTCCGGGAGTTTTTATTATTTGCAATTATTTTTAGTGAAATACAAAATGATAAGTTAGTTGTTGTTATGGAGAAAGGGGACAAGGATCTAAGTACTATTTTAAAAGAATTAGCTGGTGGACAATCTTGTTTGTCTGGCCATTTACTTACATTTTTTTGGATGGACATGCTATATGCTGTTAAACAAATTCATATGAAAGGTACTTAATTATATAATTTATAGATATTTTTTTGGATACAGTTCATAAATTATATTTATGTAGTGTTGTATAAAATGCTTGAGAATTTGTTTTGGAAGAATGTTGCTTGAGAACGGAAGTTTTTGAGAAAAATGAGAATTTTGAGCAAAAAGAAAAAAAATTACAATAGGTATTTAGAACATAATACGTTATCCTCTTCCTGAGCTTCAATATATTGCAGAGTAACTATCAACACTACATACCTACTGTAATTAGTAAATTAAAAAGGCAAATCACTACAAAATCTATGTAATAGAAATAGAGATCGCAAGGCAGAATTAAATTCTAATTTACCACTATACATCAAAACACTTTACTTTTAACACAGGACGCGCGTTTTGCTAACTGCAGATAAACTAGTAATTGGAATATTAAATTTTAGTTTTAATAATCTATATTGTGGAGAATTAGTGTTTTATTTGGCTGTAAGTTTAAAGTATCAAACCCAAGTAGCATTTTTGGACACATTTTATATTTTGCAAGTATCAATGTTCGAAAAATTATATTTACAAATAATACAATATTATCTAAAAAAAGGCGTCAGCGATGGCTATGAAATGAAGATCGCTGGCATTTTATATGTAAAATTATTCTAAAATTTTTGATTTTCTTGGGATTTTTAGGTTCGGGAAAAACGCTGATTTAAGTTTTCATTTGGGTTTTCATTATTTTTATTTGGTTTAAAAAAACGTTTCGGCTAACTATAGCCTTCATCAGTGTTGTGTCATATGAGAAAAATAGTGTCAAATATAATCCAAAAAATTACATGTACAATATAATTCACACCTCATAATGTTTACTGCAATTAATTAACTAATATAAACTTATCAAAAGATGACCACATATTTTTTAAAATTATTATTCTTAACACTAAAATTATCTACATTGACTATGGAGTACGCAGTAAACATTATGTGCGTGGTGTGAATATTTTATATGTAATTTTTTGGATTATATTCGACACTATTTTTTCATATGACACAACACTGATGAAGACTTGATGAAGAAAAAAAATTAGAATAGGTATTTAGAACATAATATGTTATCCTCTTCCTGAGCTTCAATATATTGCAGAGTAACTATCAACACTACATACCTACTGTAATTAGCAAATTAAAAAGGCAAATCACTACAAAATCTATGTAATAGAAATAGAGATCGCAAGGCAGAATTAAATTCTAATTTACCACTATACATCAAAACACTTTACTTTTAACACAGGACGTGCGTTTTGCTAACTGCAGATAAACTAGTAATTGGAATATTAAATTTTAGTTTTAATAATCTATATTGTGGAGTATTAGTGTTTTATTTGGCTGTAAGTTTAAAGTATCAAACCCAAGTAGCATTTTTGGACACATTTTAGGTAATATTTCTAATAATTCTGTCTGTTTCTTGACACAAAATGGAAACGGTATGCCACAAATAGGAAACATTTTCGAAACAATGTACTTAAACAGTCGTTAAACGGTAGCCTACTAAAATGCCGTTAATAGATATTGTGACGTCGTTCATGTCGGCGGAAAGTAATGCCTAGCCTTAAGCTTCTAAGGATCTTCTAAGTTTAAGTATCCTATATTTTATTGGCTGTACTTAAACTGCCGTTAAACGGTAGCTTACTAAAATGCCGTTAATAGGTATGACGTCGTTGATGTGACGCACTTGACGGCTTTATGAAATATAGAAATTTTATAAGGACTAACCAACGCTATCCACCCCACCAAATAACCAACTTAACCAACGCAACTAACCTCGACACTGATAAAAAATATAAAAAACAGATATAAATTAGTAAAAATCAACCAACCCTACCAAATAATTAACTAACCAATGAATTAACACCCTCCAAATAACCACGCTAACCAACCCGCCAAATAACTAAACCAATCCAAATAAAAAGAGTGAAACCAATGCAATAAGATCGCGCTATAAGCAAAAAAATATAGAAAAGTCTTGGTCGGCGTGAGATTTGAACCAGGACCATTCGCTTACGAAGTGATAGCCTCAGCCACTGACCCACAGGTGCTCTTGCAGAAAGCTTAAGGCTAGGCATTACTTTCCGCCGACATGAACGACGTCACAATATCTATTAACGGTATTTTAGTAGGCTACCGTTTAACGGCTGTTTAAGTACATCGTAAAATATATAGGTTTCGAAAAGGCTGTACTTAAACTGCCGTTAAACGGTAGCTTACTAAAATGCCGTTAATAGGTATGACGTTGATGTGACGCACTTGACGGGCTTTATGAAATATAGGAATTTTATAAGGACGCAACGCTATCCACCCCACCAAATAACCAACGCAACTAACCTTGACACTGATAAAAAAATATAAAAAACAAATATAAATTAGTAAAAACCAACCAACCCCACCAAATAACCAACTAACCAATGAATTAACACCCTCCAAATAACCACGCTAACCAACCCGCCAAATAACTAAACCAATCCAACCAAAAAGTGAAACCAATGCAATAAGATCACGCTATAAGCAAAAAAAATATGTCTGCCGATTAACGGCAGTTTAAGTACAGCCTATTTTATTTCTAATTATTTTTACGATGTACTTAAACAGCCGTTAAACGGTAGCCTACTAAAATGCCGTTAATAGATATTGTGACGTCGTTCATGTCGGCGGAAAGTAATGCCTAGCCTTAAGCATTCTGCAAGAGTACCTGTGGGTCAGTGGCTGAGGGTATCGCTTCGTAACCGAATGGTCCGTGGTTCAAATCTCAGGCCGACCAAGACTTTTTTATATTTTTTTTTGCTTATAGCGTAATCTTATTGCATTGGTTTCACTCTTTTTAGTTGGCTTTGTTTAGTTATTTGGCGGGTTGGTTAGCGTGGTTATTTGGAGGGTATTAATTCATTGGTTAGTTGGTTATTTGGTGGGGTTGGTTGATTTTTACTAATTTATATTTGTTTTTTATATTTTTTATCAGTGTCGAGGTTAGTTGCGTTGGTTAAGTTGGTTATTTGGTGGGGTGGATAGCGTTGGTTAGTCCTTATAAAATTTCTATATTTCATAAAGCCGTCAAGTGCGTCACATCAACGACGTCATACCTATTAACGGCATTTTAGTAAGCTACCGTTTAACGGCAGTTTAAGTATCCTATATTTTATTGGCTGTACTGTAAACAGCCGTTAAACGGTAGCCTACTAAAATGTCGTTAATAGGTATTGTGACGTCGTTCATGTCGGCGGAAAGTAATGCCTAGCCTTAATCGTAACATCGTAAAATATATTGGTTTCGAAAAGGCTGTACTTAAACTGCCGTTAAACGGTAGCTTACTAAAATGCCGTTAATAGGTATGACGTTGATGTGACGCACTTGACGGGCTTTATGAAATATAGGAATTTTATAAGGACGCAACGCTATCCACCCCACCAAATAACGAACGCAACTAACCTCGACACTGATAAAAAAATATAAGAAACAAATATAAATTAGTAAAAACCAACCAACCCCACCAAATAACCAACTAACCAATGAATTAACACCCTCCAAATAACCACGCTAACCAACCCGCCAAATAACTAAACCAATCCAACCAAAAAGTCGAACCAATGCAATAAGATCACGCTATAAGCAAAAAAAATATGTCATGGTCGGCGTGAGATTTGAACCACGGACCATTCGCTCACGAAGCGATAGCCTCAACCACGGAGCCACAGGTCCTCTTGCAAAATGCTTATAGGCAGGCATTAATTTCCGCCGATATGAACGACGTCACAATATATATTAACGGCATTTTAGTAGGCTACCGTTTAACGGCTGTTTAAGTACATCGTATTTTATTCGATGTACTTAAACAGCCGTTAAACGGTAGCTTACTAAAATGCCGTTAATAGATATTATGACGTCGTTGATGTCGGCGGAAAGTAATGCCTAGCGATAGGCATTTTGCAAGAGCACCTGTGGTTCCGTGACTGAGGCTATTGCTTCGTGAACGAAAGGTCCGTGGTTCAAATCTCACGCCGACCAAGACTTTTTTATATGTTTTTTGCTTATAGCGTGATCTTATTGCATTGGTTTCACTCTTTTTAGTTGGCTTGGTTTAGTTATTTGGCGGGTTGGTTAGCGTGGTTAGTTGGAGGGTGTTAATTCATTGGTTAGTTGGTTATTTGGTGGGGTTGGTTGATTTTTACTAATTTATATTTGTTTTTTATATTTTTTATCAGTGTCGAGGTTAGTTGCATTGGTTAAATTGGTTATTTGGTGGGGTGGATAGCGTTGGTTATTCCTTTTAAAATTTCTATATTTATAAAGCCGTCAAGTACGTCACATCAGTAATTTAGTAAGCTACCGTTTAACGGCAGTTTAAGTACAGCCGTTGGTTTAAGTACAGCCGTTAGTTATTTTTATTACATATGTTTCCAATGTGGTGGCACTAACCTTTTCCTGAAATGGGTAGTTATTGGGAAAACTGGAAATCGTCCGATTTTCACTAAAATTGGTATCCATCCTATTTTGAGGTCGTAGATTACGAATCTGAACTTTTTTCTTGGCGGTCTCTTACCGTTTTTCAGAAAAACGGAAAATTATTAACATCGAATTTTTCTTAATTTCTCATATATTTAAGGTTTTCTAGCACATATTTTGTTAGGTATTCAATAAACAATGATGTTATTGCTATTTTCTGTTACTTTTTTAACCAATTCTATGCATAGAGAAAAATTTGCTAAAATAAATTTATATAAACAATCTGAAAATTTTGGGTTATGTGTAGTGTGTGTGGAAAATTTGAATTAAATAATTCGACTAATAATTCGATAGTAAATTAAAACTAACTAATTCGATTATCTTTTTCGATATAATCGAGATAAAAATTAGTAGTATTTTATATTATATCTGTGGTAACCGAATTACAAATGAACATAAAACATAACCTCTTATGGACGAATATTAGTAATTAGTACCATTAGTACTATTTATTAGTATTCTTTCGTTCTGATCGAA